CTTTTGTTTGTAAATGAGTACAGAATGCTTTGTGTAGCCCCTACCAGGCAGATCACAATTGGAAATGTCATTCACCCTGGGGTACTGGGTCACTGCAGCTCAGGATGAGCAGCCAAGGCCCAGGAAGGTGAAGACCACAAGTTTTCTCTGTTTTTCTGTATCTGAGCTTCTAGAACAATCCATGGGCCATCAATGGGTGCAGTCATTAGTGCAGAATTAGTAATAAACAAACAAAAAAAAAAGGTGCATCCTAGCCACCTCAACTAATGCAGACATGTACACACAGTAGAGTCAATAGGAAAGAATAAACAGATGGGAAGGGCCTACTGAATGGATGCTCCTAGGATCCTACCCACCAGCCCTTCCTCTAGCTTTCCTCATTTCAGCAAACACCCTAACCAGCTTAACCAAAGCCCATGGGCATCTAACCCACTGGCAAAGCCATTGTCTTAATCATCCAAACACACAAAGAATCTTCGCCTCTCATGCCCTTGCCTACTTCTCTGCATCTCCTCCATCACGCCACACTTGTTCCTGCTTCTTGGGCCCTTTCCTGTTATTCATTCACAACCTAGATGTGACCTCCCCAGATGTAACCTCACTAACTACCTGGACCCTTTTCCTCAACCTCCCACTCTCAGTCCCTCCATCCAAACTCTCTCTCCTCTCAACCTGCTTTTCTATGTAGACTTTCCAATCAACTTGGAGATGACCAAGGAGAGAGGTCAGAGAATGAGCTTCAGCGCAGAGCCCAGAGATCAGTTCAGTTCTAGTTTTTTCCTACATACAAGCTAAATGCTGAATATTCAGGGGTCAAAGACAATAAGAGTGATCAATGCAATTATTATTTGCCAATTCAAAATAAAAGTTTAAATAAAAAAGGAAATGGAAAAAGACAGAGAAATGGTGCCTACCCAATCTTAGAAGTATTTTGGTAGAGACATGTGCGAATGCTGTGGAAGCTCAGAGGATGGGTAGCAGAAATCACCCGTGTGTGAGCCTGGCACTTCTCACCGAAAGGACCATTTCATTTCTTGCCCAAAGGCAAACAGTTAGTAGGAAGCAGAGCCTATGTTCCAACTCAGCCTTTTAGACGTCAGTGCCCTGTCTACTCCACCAGCCAGTGATCCATGGCCTACTGACACCAAAGGGCAAAATCAGACACACCTCCAGCAGACTGAAGACTCACATGTGGAAAGAAAGGAAAGAGGGAGTTCCCCTATGGTTTCTGGGACCCCATGTTTAACCATGGGAGCAGGCAGCACCCATGTATATCCCCATATGCAATCTAGGATCCCCACACACCCACAACTTGGACAAAGTCTTTTCATTCCCAAGTGGGACCAGGAAAATCCCCAGCAGGGAATGTACAGGGTCCTACAGTTCCTCCCGAAGCTACCAGGCTGCCATGAGCTCAGTACAGCATTGATGGGCCAGTCCCTGGGTAGAGACCTAGATCTTAGACAGATCCCAGGGACTCCCCATCCTCTGCTAGACCAGGAAAGGAAAGAAGGATCAGGAAGGTCCTGAGAGGCACCAGACACCACCGTGGGGAGGGTTCAGAGAATGGGAATCTACCCCCCACCTTTGACATTTGCCTGCAGGAAAAAGAGCACATAAGCTTTGCATGTGAGCCTTTGTGTGACCAACTCCTGTGCATGACTCTATGTGGCTGTGTGTACACTGAGTACACATGTGAAGTGGTATGTGAAAATGCAGGAAATGCCTGTGCATATGTCTGTGTATGTGTGATGATGCAGAATTAAGACCACATTCTCAGAAATGCCATCGTCTCCTGGTAGATTTTTGTTTGGCTCTGTGCTGGATGGCTTTAGTGTCAAGTTGACACACCTGGGTTGAGGGAGCCTCAATCGGGAAATTGCCTCTATTGGACTGGCCTGTGTCCATGTCTGAAGGGCCCAGCCCACTGTGGGTGGTGCCACCCCTGGGCAGGTGGGCCTGTGTTGCATAAGAAAGCAGGCTGAGCAGGGGGCAGGGGAGCAAGCCAGTAAGCAGCATTCCTCTATGGCCTGTGCTCCAGCTCCTGCTTCCAGGTTCCTGCCTACCTTGGGCTCCCTGATGAACTGTGACCTGGGAGTTGTAAGCTGAATAAACCCTTTCCTCCCCAAGTTGGTAGTGGTCAGAGTGTTTTGTCACAGCAATGAAGAAACAAACCAGGACAGGCGCTGTTTTATTCAGTATAATACCCATTCAGTAAAGTGACTCAGACCTAAAATATGCCTCTCAGTGAGGTTTATCACACAGAAGCACCCATGTAGCCAACTCCCAGCAAGATCTAGAAGTTTCTTAACATTCCAGAACGTTCCATAGTGCTCATTCCAATAATCACCTCACCTTCCCAGTAGTAACCACTAATCTGATTTTTGGTACTTCCTAAACTTTACCTCCTAATTCTGTATCAGTGCAATTGTACACTGCTCATGTCTAGTTTCTTTTCATCATCATTATGTCTACAAAACTCATCCATGTCATTGCATTTAGCATGAACTTTGTACTGTCAAATGCTTGTGACAAAATATCTGACAGAAACAAAGGAGGAAAGATTCATTTTGGTTCACAGTTTCAAACCCATTGTTTATTTGGCCCCATGTACAAAGGCAAGTGGAAGTGGGGGGTAGAGGCTGTTTCTAAGTTCTTAGTCACATCAGTAAGAATGAGTAGTGGAGGCTGTTCTCACTTCTTGGCATAAAGGAAGCAGAGAAAGGAGCACACAGGAAAAGGCCAGGGAAAGATGCGCTTTCTAGCACATGCCCCCAGTGGTCTACCTCCTAACTTTCACTATTTCCCAATAATGCCAACATGTTCTGAATCCTTCAATGGATTAATCTACCTCTTCAGACCTGGGACTATAGGCATGCATCACTATACCCAGTCTTATATGTGGTGCTGGGGATCTGAACTCAGATCCCCATGCTTGTATGGCAAGCATTTTACCAACTGAGCCATCTCCCCAGCCCCTCCTGGGCATTTTCTAAATTCAAGTTGACCATCAAGATTAACCATAACAAGTTTATTCCTGCCTATTGCTGAAATTTTGTGATGGAGATAGTCCACAATTTATTTGGCTACTTCATTATTACAGTTTTTCCAGTGTTTAGTTACTATGAATGAAGCTACTCCGAACACTCATATAGAGTTTTCACTAGATACGATGTGTTCCTTGTTCATGATTATAGCCTGGAGTACATTTACAGAGTCATCAAATCATAAAATCCTATGTTTAACATTAGTAGATTTAGCCAAATTGTTTCAAAGTATTGTACCAATTTATATTCCCATCAACAAAATATGAGCATTTCAGTTGCTCTGCATCCTCATCAACACTTAATACTGTTGGTCTTTTTAATTTTACCCATTCTGATGTCTGATGTAAAGATATTTCATTGAAGCTTGAATTTATATTTGCCTAATTAGTTATGACAGTGAGCATCTTTGGGTACTTATTTGACATTTAAGTATCCCCTTTGTGATCTGTTCTGTTCAAATGTCTGCATAAATATATTATATCCATAAAATGGGCAAATGATTGATTAAAAACAGATATCAGAACAGAACTCTCTTGAGAATTCAGCAGTTCACACAACAAGCCAACAACCAACTGTTTCTGTAATTGCTGACTAGTCACTACAACTAGCTAAACCAGGTCAAATAGGTCTATAACTTTTTTTCATTTTCAACCCATAACTTGAACTTAGCATTTCTTAGCAAGAAAGAAATACAGTCAAAAAGCAAGACCTGAGAGTCCTGGTCTCAGAGGTCCCTCACTCATTGCTCTTTTTCCTCCAATTACAGGATCCTAACAGTGACCAACCCCTGAATGGCCATGGTAAGCTCCACTCCCCTGGGCCTCTGAATTTGTTACCAAGGAGATACTGAGCAACTTTTTTTTTTTTAAATTTATGTGTACAAGCGTATTGCCAGCATGTATGTGAGTACACCCGTGTCATGCAATGCCACGGAGGTCAGAGGAGGGCTTCGGATTCCCCCAGGAACTGGAGTTAAGGACGATTTGAAGCCGCCATGAGGGTACTGGGAATCAAACCCGGGTCCTCTGCAAGAGCAGTCAGTGCTCTTAATCGCTGAGCCATCTCTCCAGTCCCCTGAGCAACTCTTTTTTAAAGTATTTTATTTATTAACTCGATTTTATGTGTATGAGTGAATTCCCTGCATGTATGTAAGTAAACCCATGTCATGCAATGTCTGTGGTGGTCAAAAGAGGGTGTTGGAGCCCCCAGAACTGGAGTTATGGATGATTGTTAGCTACGATGTGAGTGCTGGAAACCAAACCCAGGTCCTTTGCAAGAGCAGCCAGTGCTCTTAACTGCTGAGCCATCTCTCAGCCCCCTGACCCACTCTTATGTAACTCTCAATACCACCCAGTGCTAAATGCTGTGGGTGGCATCAATCCTCCCACCCCCTCAACATTCAACAACAAATACTGTGTACCTGCAAATTCCGGGATTCATTCTAAAAGTAAGAACTAGTCTCTGGGAAAACAGAGCCAACAAACCTAAAAGGTCTACAACAATGGCTCCCTAGTTTATTCTTTGTGCCAGGCCCAGAGCTGATATTGGGCTACAGCCATGAGGAAGTCAGCCAAGGCTCATGCCTCCTGCAGCACCTGCTGCCGAGAAATGCTGGCCACTGCATTTTTCACTGCCAGGAAAGAAATAGCTATATAGTCCTGACTTACAGGATACAAATAAGAGAATAAATAGAAATTCCTCAAATTTAAGGGTTTTTTTTCTCTTCCTATTACATTTTCTTAAATCATTGATACCTGCTCCTGATGGTCTACTAGATCAGCAAAACGAAAAGAACAGGGAACAAATTCATTGGAATAAATTGGTAAGAAAGTGGCCAATCCCACTCACATGACAGTGTATTTGAGTCAAGTTAATAATTACCAGAAACAATGACTCCTCAGCAAACAGAAACAGCTCCTGGTTTGTACTTTGGAGTTATATAACAACCCACAGTGTCCCCAAAGGATACCAGGCTTCCCAGGGCTTACCCCATGAACAAGCCTGAGAACTACCAAGCCAGAACACAGCTGAATTGGCTCCCAACACCTGATGGGACACAAACTTGGGAAGAAAGGTCAGTGCTGCTAAGTGGTTGGAAATACCACTATAGGCTAGGCCTAAAGGATAAATTAACCAGCAGGGGTAGTAAGGTGAGAGGGAGGGAGGTGGGGGAGGGAGAGAGAGAGGGCTCAGATTCAGAGGTGAGGACTAACAGGGTCCATTCACGGCCAGTGAAGATTAACTTGGGTTATTCAGGGTCAGGGAGCCAACCACCTATGCTGAACAGGGGCTGCTGAAAACTAGCAGTGAAATTTATTTGGCTGGGAAAGTGGGGCCAATCACATTGGCTTGGAAGGTTCAGAGTTGTGAGGTAGATCAGTGGATGTTACAGGAGCCCCTCTAGGCACTCCAGGGGGAAGGGACAGGCTGAAAGCCATCTTTCAGGAAGCTCTGTCCAGCAGCAGTGTGCAGGAAAGAAAGAAGCAACAACAGGCAGGGAGGCTATTTATAGCTCAGTAAGTTCATGAACTTGAGCTCCATCTGATACCACATCCCTTCCTGACTGTTCCCTGAGAGTAGACAGGAGGCCCAGGCTTTTGAGGTGGACACAGGGCTCATGGCCTCTCCAATGGAGCATTTCCTCTTCAAGAAAACAAACCAAACTCATGTCCCCAGAAGCAGGTGTCCAACAAACAAATCATGATGAATGAATAAGCTCAAATATGTGTCCAGGCTATCGAAGACTGGCCATAGGAACTTTAAAAACAGGACCAGCTAGCATTATTGATAGCCTGCTTTATGCCAGGTCTTAATCATTTACAGGCAGTGCCACCTGGTATCCACACCCCCATGCTGGGCCTCTGTCAGGTTAAAAGTCTCTGTTGGGGAAGCTCAAAGTTTCAGCTTTCTCTTAACAGATTCCTTGGTATCAGCATTTACTGGGCGCTAACCTTGCGCAGGATGCCATTCTCAAGGTTTGAAGAACAGAAGAAAGGGATAGGGGCAGACACGTGACTGACATCAGTAGAGTAGAATAAAATGGGAGCTGGGAGAAAGGCGAATGAGGCGTGCTTAAAAGAACAGCGCCATGAACAGACCATTTCACTGTCTACTGAATACTCGCTGTGCATTTGCAACAGGGCACTGTTCTAGGCACCAGAGACTCAGCAGTGCCCAGGAGACACTATCTTCATGAAGGTTTCATTTCAGAGATGGATGAGAGGAAACAAAATAGACAAAATAAGTAAAATTTAGAGTACTAGAGATCCCGAGTGCTTTGGGGAGACAGCAAGCAAGGAAAGAGGATGGAAAATGCTGGAAGTGCATTTTGAGCAAGATTAAGAATGAACTCACCGTGAAGGAGACATGGAAGGAAGGCTTGACGGAGATGAGGGAGTAAGCCATGTGGAGGTGAAGGGCCAGAGAGCCTGCCGGTTGTTTTCTAGACTTCTGGGCTTCTCTGGCTCCCCCTAGAAGCAAGACCCTCAAAGCTCCTCTTTGGTTACTGCCTGAAGAAAAGGGGCCTGAAGTAAGCAGAACCTATCTCTGAGGCTTACTGAGAACTCTCCATAGCCTTTCCGTGCTCCATCCTCAGGCAGCCATGTGCACTAGACAGCTCGGGGAGGTGGGGTTTGTGTGGGCTCACGGCTTCAGAAATTCCAGTTCATCATGGCCGGAGGGCATGGCAGGGCAGTTTCTATAATGGCAGAGGGAATACAGAAAACAAAACCAGAAGTCACCTGAGCTAAAAGACTCCCAAGGACATACCCTCAGTGATCTACTTCCTTCAGCTAAGCCTTACCTTCCAAGCTTCTAGAACTTTCCAAAATAGTACCACCATTCAACCAAACACTGAGAACATGAGCCTGTGAGGGCCATTTCAGATTCCATGAAATGTGAAGATACCATGTGAGGCAGACATGTGGTTATTTTTACAAATTTTAGGCAGTGATGATCTCCTGTGTGAACCCCCCTGATCCCAAACTCTTTCCTTCCAATCTTCTTCTTCCCTGCTAAAGAGTAAGTCCTCTTTCTAAACAATAATCTTATCGTGTCTTTCTAATGCTCAAAACTTTTCAATAGCTCCTCACTGCCTTCAGGACAAATTCCAAACTCCCTAGGATAGTTTCCAAGTCTCCACAAAATGTCTTTGCCATCCTGCCTCCCAACAGGCTTTAACCCCCCTTATACTCCAAGACCCCAGACAACCTGCAGCACCCTTCCTCCATGTCTTGTGTCTGAACTGGTCCAGAGCCTCCATTCCCTATCTCCCCCTATATCTAAGTACTATGTGCTCAGGAAGCCTCCCTCAACCTTCCCTGGGTAGAGACTCTCTGTAACCACATGATGAACTGCCATCTGTGTCCTGCTTTCCTCTTCCTCAGACTGTAATCTCCTTAAAGACAAGCATGCTGGGGATCCACTGTGTGTTGGATTGACTTGGAACTGGGGCCATCAGGATGCATTCGTTCACAAGTATTTACTGAGCCTCTACTAAGTACTTACTGTGAGAGGAGGCAAATATTAAGTCAGAGGACTGGGGATGTGGCTCAGTTGGTAGAGTGCTTGCCTACCATTCGCAAAGCCCTGGGTTCCACCCCAATACTGCTTTACACATGCCTCTCATCCTACTACTAGGGAGGTGGAAGCAGAAGAATCAGAAGTTCAGATCATCCTTGGCTACATATGGAGTGCAAGGCTAGCCTGGACTAAATGATCCATTCCTTTAAAAAACTTGCAGGGCTGGAGAGATGGCTCAGTGGTTAAGAGCACTGACTGCTCTTGCAGAGGACCCGGGTTCAATTCCCAGCACCTATATGGCAGTCCTTAACTCCAGTCCCAGGGAATCTGAAGCCCTCTTCTGACCTCCAAGGCATTGCACCACATGGGTGCACTCACATATATGCGGGCAATACACTCACACACATAAAAAAATAAAAATAAAATTGCATCAGAGGAACACCTGGACAGGAGGAGAAATATCCATGTAAATGTTCTATAGCACTGGAGGGCAGCTGCAGTTAACAACTGATATTTCAGAAAAGCTAGTAAAAGGATTCTGAATATTTCTAACACAAACAATAAATGTGTTAGATGATAGACATACCAATTACCCTGATCTTATCATCTATTGAATCCGTTGAAATGCCATGCCATACCCCATAAATATAGACAATTATGTGTCAATTGAAAAAAAAAAAAGTACTACCAAAAAAAACTTAGCCGGGTGTGGTAGCACATGCCTTTAGTCCCAACACTTGGGAGGCAGAGACAGGCAGATCTCTATGAGATCAAGGCCAGCTTGATCTACATAGTGAGTTCCACACCAGCTGGAGCTACAGGGAGACCCTGTCTCAAAAAAAAAAAAAAAAAAGAGGAAAGAAAGAAAGAAAGAGAGAGAGAAAGAAAGAAAAGAAAAAGAAAAATTATTCAAAAACAGGTATGTCAGGGGAAGGACAAACAGGGTCAGTGAAGGATAGGTGCCCAAGTACATGCCTGAGGAGCCCAGGCCTCTGCCAGGGCAGGTGCAGGTCAGGAGTGACACCACCTGGTACAAACTAGGGCAAGACAAAGTGACATGGCATTAGCTACAGGCTCATCTGAGGAACACTTATGAAAGATGGGTAAGCCTGAGCAAGGCAGGGAAGATGGGGTCACAACCTGCTCATAAAGCTAAGTTTTGCCTGCAGGAAAAATCCCCACTAACCAAAACTATCACTTGACACAGGCCAAGGGTAGAGAGTATGGGCCTTGGCAGGGGCAGGCTCCAATTTCTGACTGCATACTCCTCTCCTCTGTCCTTCTCTCCTCACAGATGCCACCCCCCTGCACAAACCCCGCAGGCCCTTGGAAACCTTCAAAAAAGTGGGGATCCCCATCATTGCAGTACTATTGAGCCTAGCAAGCATCGTGATTGTGGCTATCCTCAGTAAGTGACAGCCCCTACCCAACTTTCTCCCCCGCTATGTGACAGTACCTTCCCTCACCCCCTCAGTGACAGTCCTCACCTCATCCTCTCACCCCCACAGTCATAGACAGGTGATGTGCAGAAAGCTTTGAAAAAAAAAAAATGCTGGATCTCCATGTCTCCATCTCTCTTGAAGGGAGCCTTCTAAGAGTGAAAGGGGAAAGTGAGCCCAGCCCCCAGCACTCCCAGATGGCTTCTCTTCCAGATGGCTGCTGTACACGTGGCACCCATTCCAAACCCACACAGGCTGTTGCAGGGGTGCCCGCCCCCAACCTCCTCCTTCCAATCTTCTGCAGGCTGACAGCTGGCAGAAGCGGGGGAGGGTGGGTGTCTGTGCAACCCTACTGACTGGCAGGACAGACAGCATTTCTGCCTGTAAGGAGAGGAGAGAGAGGAGGTACCAGGGAAGATGGCTAAGCAGGATGGCACCTGCCCATCTCAGCTCTGTCTTCATTGTGGCCAGTGCCTGCACCACGTATGACCTGGAGCAGCACACTTTGTGACAGGGCAGGGACTGGCCACAGTTTTCACAGCAGGGATTAAGGCACATGGGAACAAGCCTAGGAGTCAAGGATGGTGATTTTGGCTTGCTGCTGGCTCCTGTGTGACCAAGAGTAGGTCCCTCAGCTTTCTCCACTGTAAAATGCTCTACAGACTCATGAGCCAAAGCATGTAGCAGGTAGAGCAGCACCCATCCTCCAGGCCTGTATCTCACTCAGAGCCAGGCCCCAGGGCATAGGTTTGCCAGGTCTGTTCAGCCTGGGGATGGCTGGCCTTTGGAGAACCAGTACTTTTAGCTGCAATGCATTTGGTCAAGAGCAGTCACCACCCCATTGGATGACACATAGAGATTCTCCTATTTTACACTTGTTCAGAGCCCAGGTGAGAGGATCAGATACAAAGCTGGGACAGGACCCTAGTTCTCCAACTGAACAAATCCCTATCTCCCTCATGGTAGCAGCAATGTAGATCCACAACATGAACACCCACCGTAGTCCCTGAGAGCCCGGGGTGGGTGTGAGAGGCAGAAAACTCCAAATCAGTTCTTCTTGACTTTGGCTAGTCCAACCTGTTGTGATTGTGTTAGAGTCAGCTTTCCAATACTATAACAAAGTTCCTAAAACCAACACCCAAAAGTTGTCCTCTGACTTCCACTCGCATGCTGTCACATACACACACACAATAAATAAATAAATAAATAAATTTTCAAATTGCCAGTGAGATGGCTCAGCAGGTAAGGGCATCATCTGCTGCTAAACCCAGTGACCTGAATTCAGTGCCCAGGACCCACATGGTAGAAGGAGAAAACCAACTCCGGAAAGCTGTTCTCTGACCTCCACACATGCACTGTGGCATGTGCATGCCCTGCCTCTCCACAAACAAAAATACATAAATATAATAATGCTTGAGATAGTCAGCTTATAAATAGAAGAGTTTGTTGAAAGTTCAAGGTCCTGATTAGTTTTCTCACTGCTTTATGTCTATGGTGAAGCAGCACATCACAGAACATGGGCTCTAAACACCTCCCAACATGAGCCAGGGAGTGAAGAAAGAAGATGGGCCTAGGCTTCCTAGTTCCATTCAAGGGTATGCCCCAATTGCCTAACTTCCTTCTTCTAGGTCTCACCCCCTAAGGCTTCCACTAACTTCCAATAGCATCAAGGCTGGTTTGGGGCACATTCCAGATGCAAACTGTTTTTGCAGTGGCATCAACAGATCTGCCATCCGTTTTTCTCAAGCTAATATTAAGTGAGCTTGCTTTCTCTGATAGGCCTGCTATCATGGAGGGAGAAGAGGGGGCTGGCTATACTACATCAGCAATGTGGGACATAAATCCCACCTCTCCCATCCTCAGCTTCCTTACAGGTGATGTGAGTTGGTCATGACGCCTGTCTCGCAAGGCTGTTGCTAGAACAAAAGGGAACAATATGGAAAGCCCTTAGCACAGTGATGCATGAAACCATTAGAAACTTGCTTCCACCACTCAGAGGACCAGTGAGGGGTCCCGCTGGACCAGAGAGAGTTCACTTAGGGAGGAGGAGTTCCTTCTACCAAGGGTGTCCAGCTGAGTGTTATCACCAAAGAAACCTGTTGAACTATCCATCCTCCCTAAAAAGTTAGTAACACTAAATGAATTTCCATTGACCCAAAGCAGTAAGATACATTGAAGGCTGCAGACTCCTGAGATAACAGGCATCTTGCCAAGCAAGACCCCAATCTCTTCATGTCCTTTCAATCCCAGATCTAAAACAAAACAAAGTTTTCCTGTAACTGAATATTTGATAGCTAACCATTAGATATTTTGCCAACTACCTTGGTCATCATGTGTTCTCAACAGCCTGTGAGATAGATATTATCATCTCATTGTTTGGAAGAGGAGACTCTTGGCTCCTCTGCCACCTTGGTGACACAGGGCTAGAGCTATTACACTCAAGAAAGCAGTGCCTCAGGACTAGTTGGATCTGTTAGGAAGCAGAATAACTGGACCTGGAACCCACATCTATCTCCAACCAGCCTGACCTTTAGAAAAAACAGCCTCTCTCTGCCTGCTTAACCACCTCCCTGCCCCTCCCCATGCCTTCTAGTCAAGGTGATTCTGGATAAATACTACTTCATCTGTGGACACCCCCTGACCTTCATCCCGAGGGAGCAGGAATGTGACGGCCACCTTGACTGTGCCTCTGGAGAGGATGAGGACTACTGTGTCAAGAACTTCCCCGAGAGGCCTGCAGTGGCAGGTGAGTCCAGGGGCTAACGGGGAGAGAAGAGGGCAGTGCAGGAAGTCTGCCCAGGCGTGGCACCTGTCCGACTCTTTATCAGTTTCCTAGCCTGCTGAAAAAGGTCTACAAAGTGGGGCCATGGCATGCCCACCTTTAGATCCCAGCACTGGACAAGGTACAGACTCGGGAATGGTTTGATGAAATAAAGTGAACCCAAGGGGACAGGAGATCATAGCCTGCTTGACTTTGACAAAGAGGACTTGATTGGATGACCTTGGGAAATTCCTCCCTTCTGTGAAATCTAGTATCTCAAGGGGACTAGAAAAGACATTGTCAAGCCATTTAACCAGTTAGCAAACCTTCCATTCATAGTGTGTACTGTAACATGCTAGGAAATAGGCCAGAGTGAGGTCCTTAAAAGAATGGATGTTTCCAACATAAAAGCCATGATCTTCTTTGAACTGAGCTAGCTTGACTTGACCCATTTGACCCTTAGCCCAGAAGATAAGTAATGGGACATTTTGAGGGTCAAAGCTCCATGACTTCCTATATATTTGTTCTTTCTTTAGTAAAGACAAATGTCCCTAGGCACCTGCCATACTAGTGCCAATAGTGTTCACACTAAACCTCCCCCTCTGGCCTTCCATGGAAAAGATCCAGGTCACTGGCTGAGAAGTTTCCCCAGACTGGGCAAGCTGTGTGGACCATGCTAGAACTGATACCTGCTGAGTATGGTAGTACATGCCTTTAATCCCAGCACTCGAGAGGCAGAGGGAGGAGGAGGTAGGTGAATCTCTGTGAGATCGAGGCCAGCCTGGTCTATATAGTGATTTCCATTTAATCCCAGCACTCGAGAGGCAGAGGGAGGAGGAGGTAGGTGAATCTCTGAGATCGAGGCCAGCCTGGTCTATATAGTGATTTCCAGGCCAGCTGGAGCTACAGGGAAACACTGTCTCAACCAAACAACAATGAAAATCTGAAATCCCTGAGAGCAATCAGACTATTAGTCATTGTGCCTGGGAGGTAGGTCAGGCTCACCCTAGCTACCATCAAAACTAGTCAACTGGAGGAATGTCCCTTGATATTGAGCATGTCCTCACTGGAGGGGGGGTGTCAGAGAGGCTTATCTCATGATAAGTTCTGAGGGGCTGGGCTAGAGAGGCTCCACCCTTCAGCTGACTCAGGCTCCTCCCCTCCCAGTCCGTCTCTCCAAGGACCGATCCACCCTGCAGGTACTGGACATGACCACAGGGACCTGGGCCTCTGCCTGTTTCGACAACTTCACAGAAACATTGGCCAAGACAGCCTGCAGGCAGATGGGCTATGACAGGTACCCAACCCAGGAAGCAGTCACCTCACCCCAGAAACCTCTTCTCCCCTGCCTTCCTTCCTCTTTGCTGCTTCTCCTCCCTTAATCCTTTCCCCCTAAAAGCACAGGCATTGGATTCACATAGACCTGTGTTTGAATCCCAGGACTCACTTAAAAGTGATAAGAAGGCAAATCCCCTTCTGCCTCAGTTTCCTCAAAAGTTAATTAGAGGAAACAATCCCAATCTCACAAGAAAGATGGCGGGGCACACACGCGCACACACACACACACACACACACACACACTGCATAGGTATACCACATGCACACCACATAAGCACACATCACGTGTGTGCACACATATACACACATCACATGCATACACCACACACCACATATACACACATCGTGCACATACATGCACACACATATGCACACACACATACTTTTAGTTTCTCTGCAGTCCTCTTTCCCCTTTTATCACTCTTGTCCTTTGTAAGAAGGTTCCCTGACCAATAATAAAAAAGCCTCATTTATTATGCAAAGTCCTGCAGGTTAAAATTTAGAGGGGAGGAGGGCTTGAGGTGTGGCTCAGTGGCAGAGCACTTGCCTGGCACGTACAAAGCCCTGGGTTCCATCCCAGCACTGGAACACTAAAATAGTCATCCAGCCTGGTTCTGTTGAGGCCCCATCATCAGCAATCCCAGCTCTTTCAGCAAATTCCAGAAACAGTCCCAAATCTGGAGTGGAGGTACGTAATTACATGAAGGGTGTTTAGCATGATATTATATTTATATTCATTTGATCTTGGCAGAAAACCCAAAGCATAGTTATTATTATATCTGTGCTACAAAGTAGGCTTCAAGAAAGTAAGTGGCTTTCTGAGGCAGTAGCCGCAGTAGTAGTACAGGACTAAAATCTGTGCCAGGACCCTGATTCCTGGCACCAGAAGCTCACATAGAATCCGCCTCTGTTTGTGTGCTGGGAATTCTCTCTTCTCACAAGACTTCATCAGTGAAGGAAGAGTAAGTGAGAGTTGATCCCTGAGGGGCCTACCTAGAGAGAATGGAAAGGAACCAAGGTATTCTGCTGCAGAGTGGGATTAAACTCCCCCTGGCAGGTCCCAAACTTCCTTGGGATGCTAAGAAACTGAGCCCAGAGACAAGCCAGAAATGATGACTACTAGACAGACATTGCCAACTGATCACAGAACTCTCTCCACGGATCCCTAAAGCAATCTCAAGGTTCTGTCCAAGAAATGTTCCAGGCAGCCATCACAAATGGATTCGACCTCTGTGCCCTCTACCCCCTGGTTATGAGGTTTCTGCTCTCTTCCCTCCTAGGGGGCACTCTAGACCCCTCTAGAAAGGATACCCTACCACCCTCATTTCCAAGCAGGCCTGGAAGCATGCCCAAAACCTACTGTCCTCCCCATGTCAGCCCCTCCTCCACTGCGGTCCAGCCAACTGCAGTGTCAGCTGGACCCAGCACAGTAGGCTGAAGCTGTTATGAAACCTGGGGCCTGCTGGGGTTCTTAAAGTGGTAACCTCCAGAATTTCAGAGGCGGGGGGAGGGGGGGTCACTGAGCTACTTGGCTGCTTGGGGTTTATGAAATCAAAAGGTTAGCTTTCCTCAGTATGTCCGCTCCCAGCGTCATCGCCCCTGAGACAGATTTCTATGTTCAAATCTCTCTACTGTCTTTCTTCTGCCTGGATTGAAGGACCTTCTTGTCCTCGGAACACAAAACCATAAGCCCAGGATAGGAGGAACTGCAAAGGGTCACCTGGCCCATACATCATTTTACAGAAGAAAAAACAGGTTCAGAGAGATCCAGAGGATGGATGTGACCTGCTCAGGGTTACACACAAAACTGGTGTCAGAGCTGGCATAAAAACTTAGGTCTTGAGGGCTCTTTTTAAGAAATTATTTATTCTTATTTTATGTGTATGAATGTTTTGCCTCCGTGTATGTAAGTGCACCCATGTGTACAATGCCTGCAGAGGCCAGAAGAAGGTGTCAGATCCCCTGGAACTGCGGTGACAGTTGTTAGCTGTCATGTAGGTACTGGGAACTGAACCCTGGTCCTCTGCAAGAGCAACCAGTGCTCTTAACTGCTGAGCCATCTCTCCAGCCTGGTCTTGAGGACTCTTAAGGCAGACTCTGATGTTCCCACATCCAGCACCCAGACAGTGCTGGCGTGCCCAAAGTGTGTGTCATCCAGTCGGACTGTGGAATGATCCTAGATCTCTGTGCAGAGCTTGTACTGGTGGCACAGACTGAGGAGGAAAGGAAAGATTTAGAAGAAAATTCAATGACAACTCATAGAGATGGAAGTAATTGGGGAAGTCTTCCTTGAGGAGGAAAACTTAAATCCAGGAAACCCAGGATCTAAGTTAGAGGGACTCTTCTCTGGATTCACATGAGGATGGCCCAGGCTTCCACTATCTCCAAGGCACTATCAAAGTCAGACCAGGTTCCTCATCTGGAAAACTGGATAGCCACACTCCAGTTCCCTCTACACTGAGAAGAGCGTTCACCTGTGTCCCTTTATGTCTTTGTTCTTGTTGATGTGAGCCAGAAGAGCTGCTGAGACATGGGAGGTTGGGGCAGAGCTGGGTGCTGGGAAAGGAGAACACTGGCACTTCTGCAGAGTTCTGGGTTCTTTGGTAATATGGCAAAGCAGGCCCCGCCCCCACTGACCTAGCCCACCTGTGTTACCCTGCTACACCCGTTTGTCCTTCCTGTCACTCTCTCTCCTGGGATCGGGACCGTTTCTACCATCTAGTTCCAACCTCTGCTCACAGTTTACTCTCCCTACTTCAGCCAACCCACTTTCAGGGCTGTGGAGATTGGCCAGAACCAGGATCTGGATGTCGTTGAAGTCACAGGAAACAACCAGGAGCTTCAGGTGCTGAATGGAAGTGGGTAAGTAAAAGGGACCCCTTCTGACCTGCAGGGGCAGACTGACAGCAAGAGCAACAGGAACTGGGCAACAGGAAGAACTCTCAGCCAAGCAGATCTTTAAATGTCCAGAGCTACAGAATATCATTTCCAGGCTCAGGGGTATTGTGTTGCATTTTTTTATACTACAATGGACAGTTGGATAATGTATGCTGTCCTATCAAAGACAAAGGAATGGGTCAAGGGACCTTCTATTCTCCTGAACAATACAGACAAATGTTTTCTGCAACTACCCCAGGTTCCCTAATAACTTGCCCAATAGGCAAGAGTCCAAAAGTCACTTTTTCCATCTCTACCACTTCCCTAAGCTAAAGTAGGACCTTCCCACCGCCAACACTCCAGGAAAGGCACCCCAGCCCCTCATTACAGCACAGCTGCAGCCAAATGAAACCTAACCCAGCAGCAGGGACTGAGGAATGCACTGGCTTCGTAGCATTCAGAGAATGCTGTGCCAGCTGCTCACTTATCACAATAAATCTTTGAAAGGAGAGGGTTGGTAGTAGAATGCTGCCTGATTCCACCGAAACCTTTTCTTCCACTGGGAAAGGCTACAGAGGGTTCTGTTCTGGGCCCTGCTTCCTTCCCACTCAGGCTGCCAGGAGTCTAGGCTGACTTTGCACTGGCCAGGGTTCCCCACATGGTAGATGCACAGCACTGGAAGTGTTGAATCAAATCGAACCACACAGAGTGTTGATGCAGTTTCTACACAGGCCCCATTATGAAGTATTGGGAAGGGCTTGAATCAGCAGTTTCACAAGACCAGAGCTCCTACCTCCTAGCCAAAGAGAAGCAGACCCCTTATGGCCCTATGTCTCTCTTCCAGGCCCTGCCTCTCAGGCTCCCTGGTTTCCCTGTACTGCCTCGGTGAGTATGCCTCATCTCTGAAGGTTTGGGGGACTAGGCCAGCAATGGGCAATTCTCCTTCCTCCATCTCCCATTCTCTAATTCCCACTGTTTAGATCCAACCTTGGGCTTATACGTCAGTGTTCCCTCAAGTGGTTAATGCTAAAAAAAAAAAAAACAAAAAAAAAACAAAAAACTCCCTTCTATCATCTGCTCACAGCCTATGTCCTGAGTGTATTAGACTGCAATGAAATACCTGTAGCAGGCAAACTTCATAGAGAAAAGAGGTTTAGTTAGCTCACTGTTTTGGAGGCTGAAGGTCTAAGATCAGGAAGCTCCTATGGTTTGGCCTCTGGTAGGGGCCTAACTTTGGATGATAGACCATGGTGGGTTATGTGCAAAACAGAAGCCAGGGATCCATTCAGAGGTGGGCTCTGTCTAGCAACAACTTACTCTCATAGGAGCTCAGGTATCACATGAGAACTACGTTAGCACCCTCTGGCACCAGACCTTAGGGGCCACTAGGTTATGCTTCTTAAAGGTTCCACCTGACCACTACATCAGGACTAAGTGGCTTTCTCAGAGCACACTCAAACCATAGACAAGCAGGTTATTGGCTGGACAGAGCTTTTATATAAGACCATGTGGAGCACTGCAAAGGAGTCTAGATCCCATCTTGCCATCAAAAAGGCCCTGAGTGAATGAGCAAGGGGGCAAACAGGGTTGGATCAGACAGTGTTTGTAAAGCACAGGGCCAGGCAGGAAAAAGGGTAGCCTTTCCCTATTGGAAAGACCGTCATGGCAGGGGGTGTCTAATGGACCAGAGAAGCACAGAACAGGGCAGGGAGGTGGCACTAGAGTTTTTTTATTTGTTTATTATTCTTTTAATTATGTGTAGGGGGTAGTATACATGAGTACAGGTGCCCATGGAGGCCAGAAGAGGGCATTGGATCCCCTGGAGCCAGAGTTACAGGCAGTTATGGGTGCTGGGACTAGAACTCAGGTCCTCTGGAAGAGCAGTAAGCACTCTTCACCACTGAGCCATCTCTCCAGGCCTGGTACTGTTCAAGGATCAGATATGAAAGCTAAGTCAGGAGAAGATAGGCTAGCCAATGAGGAGCACCCCTCCCCCCACCCCAGCAGGGGGAAGAAACTTAGGAAAAGTTGAGTTTGGTATGGGAAGATCTAGTTTCTAGAACTTTCTTCCTACTTCCTGATGCCAAAGTAGTTTGTGGCTGTTTTCTGTTACTTAGCAGGGAGTGGCTGGGGGCATTCCACCTAGGCAGAGCTTTCAGAATCCACAATACTGCTTCCTTATTTGGTATGAAAAACATTAATTCGCAACTCAATGGACATACCCATGTTCATAATCTAAACTCCTAAACACACTCAAAGGGGAGAGAGATTTCAGGGAAAGCCTGTGGTCTGGGATTCTCTATATTCTTCCAGGAACAATTCAGAACCTGTAGAGGGAAGGTCCTCTCCACCCTATCAGTACCATTCCTCAGGGCTCTACTCTGAGTAAACACAGGGCTCTTGGGTCAGGCCGCCCCTCCCCAGAAGCCTAACTTCCCCTTCTTCTTTCCTGCTGAGTCCAGCCTGCGGAAAAAGCCTGAAGACTCCTCGGGTGGTAGGTGGGCAGAAAGCCTCCATGGAGTCTTGGCCATGGCAGGTCACCATCCAGTATAACAAGCAGCACATCTGTGGTGGGAGTATCCTGGACCCCCACTGGATCCTCACAGCTGCCCATTGCTTCCGGTAAGACTCCTAGCTGTGAGCGGGCCAGGAGGGATAGAGGTCATGGAGGAGCCAGCCTCCTGACCTGTTTCCTAATAACTGCCCACCATGGTTCCCTGGAACCACTTCCGGTAGAGCCTTCACAATGACATACTGGCCATGATGCCCTGTTAGGTACTGGAGTCTGAGCAGAGTGTGCTCGTCACCAAGCTTGACCCGTGCTGGATAGGAAGCCATCAAATACTCAGGGTCTTCACCCCACAGTACACTCATTCCGCTCATGACTTCCCCACACGTTTGGGCTCCCAAGAACTTACTTCTTCCTTTCCAGCCTTCCAGGAAATGGCCTGTCTAGAAACTGAACCAGGTATAGATAACCTTTCAGTCCGGAAGAGAGGGGCCTGGCAAGACCTTGAGGAAGGGCCACACTTGGGCCCTCTTCACTACCATTCATTCATTCCTGTCCATCCCCTTCCAGGTGGTATACCCCCATACATCACAGAGACCCCATCACTACCTGTCCCAGTCTAGCCCAGGGCTTCTTTACCTTTTGAGACTCTGACAAGAGCTCCAAATCCTCGCCTGGGAAAAGTTCTCCACATACAAGTAGCACCTAGGGTGGAGAGGAAGAAACACAAGTCCATGACTCAACTGACCACAATATAAATAACACAAGCAAGAGAGCAGGAAGAAACTGCCAGAACCCCAGGGCTCAGGCGTGGGTGGCCCTCTTCCCAGCCCAGGTAGATGCTTCCTTGGGCACTTTTCACTGAGGAAAAAGAATCAGATCTCCTTTCTAAGCCTGCTCCTCAGACTGTCCTTCTCCACCACCCCTGTTCCCACCATCATATAACCTCCTAGGCCCCAGCACATCTGGGGACCCAGGCCTAGGCAAACAAAGCCTCTTTGTGCTTGGCTCCCATCTTAAACCCAGAAATCTGTGTCCCCAGGAAGCATCTCGATTTGTCCAACTGGAAAGTGAGGGTCGGCTCAGAAAAATTGGATGACTTACTGTCCTTGCCTGTGGCCAAGATCTTCATCACTGAGCACAACCCCCTGTACCCCAAAGAAAAGGACATTGCCCTCGTAAAGCTGAAGTCCCCACTCACATTCTCAGGTGAGAAGTGGTTCTGGGGGACAGAGCCCCTCAGGTCAGCCATGCTTCTGCTCTGCCTCTAGCTCACTAAGTAGCCTCAAGCACATCATGTTCCCTCTCCAAACCTCAGCTTATCCATTGGTGTCCAACTAATGTCACCCCAGTATCACTGGTGCCACAAGACTGCTCTGGCCACCAGCTAACACTCATGCCTTGCCCTATCAGAGATCCTTCTGAGGTCTGTTTGCTCCATTTGGAGAATCAGAGTTATCAAATCTTGGAGTTGTTGAAGCCCCAATTGTGTAGTCCATTCCCACCCCTGACCAGTTCCCAAGGTCCTGCACAATATCCCTGCTAAAGGGCTATGTGCTCTGGCTTGCTCTCCTTCAGGAGTAAGGAACTCAGTACTTCCTTTTTTAAAATTTGTTTTGATGTGTGTGCATTTGCATATGTCAGCAGACAGAAGGGAAAGGGAGGGGGGAGCAGCCCAAAGTCTTCCATGTGTTTCCATGGGAAGGCAGGGGGTATGTTAGGTAGGCAAGTTTGAGCATGCTTCAGATTGGAGAGTGAGAATAATTCTCTCTATATTCTCTCTCCAGCTTTTTAGTACCTAGACCTGGGATGATTTAGGACAGAGAAAAATATTTCCTTGGTATGTGACAGTGAGGTAAAGGAGGTGGTCAAGGATATGGGCTCTGGGTTAATTGGTTTGCATATTGGAGGCATGCTTGCTGAAAATTGGTTTATTCTCTCTGGGAATTATCTAATCCAGTCTCATCTAGACCAGCAAGATCCCCAACATGTCAAAGCAGAATATACAGAAAACAAACAAAAACCCTATAACCCAACTCTAATATATTCTCTCCCTCTCCCTCTCCCTCTCCCTCTCCCTCTCCCTCTCCCCTGGCAGGCACAGTCAGGCCCATCTGCCTGCCTTTCTCTGATGAGGAGCTCATTCCAGCCACACCGCTCTGGGTCATTGGATGGGGCTTTACAGAGCAGAATGGAGGTATGTCCTGGGCTCAGGACCTCAGGGTACAGACACCCTTGCATGAGGAAGAACCTCCCAGAGGTGATAAGAAAGAAAAGCCCATCCTAGCAAACCAGACACCAAAATTCTAGATAGCAAAGAGTATTGGTGGCCTAGAGAATTAAAAGGTAAAGGCAAGAATAACAAAGTCTTGTTTTCAACCTCCCAGGGAAGATGTCTGATATACTGCTGCAGGCATCAGTCCAGGTCATCGACAGCGTGCATTGCAATGCAGAAGATGCATACCAGGGGGAAGTCACTGCTGAGATGTTGTGTGCAGGTATCCCACATGGTGGTGTGGACACCTGCCAGGTGGGTCCTTCAAGGATCATGGGGAGTTCAATGAGTGGGGATGTAGGTTCTGGAGAGGTGTGAAAACCCACAAGCTGTGTAACATGGTCACTCAATTTGTGGTGAAGGGAGGAAGAAATGTAGTCAGATAAAGATAGAAGAATTGGTAGGCAGGTGGTTAGATGGGTGAGTGGGTAGATGATGGATGGATGGGTGGAAGGAAGAATGATGGATGGATGGATGGATGGATGGATGGGCAGATGGATGATGGATGGATGGATGGATGGATGGAGGATGGATGGATGGGTGGGTGGATGGATGGATGGATGAGTGGTTGAATAGATGGATGATGGATGGAAGAGTGCATGGATGGATGGATGGAAGAATGGATGGATGGAAGAGTGGATGGATGGATGGATGGATGGAGTGGATAGATGAGTGGGTGGAAGGATAGTTGGATAAATGGATGGATGAGTGGATGGATGAATGGATAGATGGATGGATAGATGAGTGAGTAGGTGGATGGATAGAATGATCTTAAATGTCTACTTCACATATAAAGAGGACATTGCCACCTTCATCACCCACCCTTGCTTTTCATCATCTTCAGGTTATGATCCCCTTGAGTACAGGGACTCCAGGTCTCTCTTTCCTGTGACTGTCCCTGTTCTACTTTATTAGAAAAACCATCTCGTGCTAGATAAGCCTTACTGCATGTCCCCTCCTGACATCCCCATGGCTGCCAGGACTGCTTAGCAATCCTTGCATATCTTCTTACTACCTCAAGCCTCCAGAGGATCTTGGAACCATTTTTATTCCTTAGCGCCTACTCTCATCTGCACTCATTAAGATCCTCATTCAAGGGCATATCTTAATCATCTCTTGTGTGTCATGAACATTGGCAGGTTTGGAGACAGTGTCTGCCTTCTAGGAGCTCCTGATGGCCATAGTGAGGATGCACAAGAAGACAATCAAGCCATAGTGTTACTGGGTTTATAGAGAGTTGGTTTAAAAAAAAAAAACACCCCAATAGGTGCATTTTTCACTATCTGACATGTTCTTAGTTTGTTTTCTGCTCATTCATTGGCTCTGTCAACCTATTTGAGAACTTCCTA